TTTCATTATTAATAAGTGTTCCGAATTCTCCTCGCTGTATCAATTTCTAGGCAACCAAAGAGATATTTAAATAAACAAATAAACTATGTTTAATATTATATTATTATCTTCAATAAAAATTAAATTTCCCATAAAAATCTTATTGAAATAATAGTAGTCCTGAATTATATTAAACATTATGTTATTACAATTATATTAAGGGGGTTAATTGTTTATTTTATATTTTTGAATCAGATAAACCCCAATTACATAGCTAAATCGAATACATTACAATTTTAGAAAATTATAATTTATAGATTTGTTAATATATATATTAATATAATTATAGTTACCAATTTTTCTGAAACAATTTTATTCGTTTTTAGATACGTGCGTTTTTTTGGAATAATGGAATTTGTTATAGGATAAATATTTTTGTTAATAATTGCTGAAAATTGAATATCATTTTAATAATTATGAATTAAATAATCAATTTCGAAAAAGTTTTTTAATATTAAAATAGTTAAATTAAAGTAAAGCCACTGAATTATTGTTATATATGAATAAGAGAACTTTTTATTAATTTTTCTTATATTTTATATTAAAAAACTTTTTCTCTATTTGAAATAATTAGTTTAATTATTAATCTTAATAGTGTTTACAGATAATTCTTCCATATTTAGTTGAATTTTTTGATATTTGTCCTTTATTTGGATTATTTAAAACACAATTGGAATGCATGAAACGACGATTCCATATTTCTTCAACTCTGCGTATGACCTTATGTAAGTTTGTTTCATTTGTTTGATCAAAAATATTATTTCCACTTGCCATATCAATAACAAATTAAATAAATCTTAATACTTACACAAGACGATAGTTTATCTTTAACGGGAAAAAACGAAGTGAACTCAAATGTCTATAAAATCAACATTTACATCTAATTGTCAAGGAAACTTAATTGTAAAAATTCATTTAAAAAATGTATCAGCCAATTATATATAAATTTAGTATAAACAATAATTATTTATTTTAATTTTATTATTGGTCAAAGAATACAATGTGTTAAGAGTTTATTACAGAGAATTATCAAAATATGTATATATTTTTTTAAGATTTTTTAAAGAAAAAACTTGTATTTTTTTTATTTATTATTGTATTGTATTTATATGCATATTTATTTATTACATTAGTTTACAAATGATACAGATTTTTTTTATGAAAGTTCAAATGGAATAAATTTGATAACGGTTAACAGAATTTTTATACATATAAAATTTAATCTGTATGAAATAAAATATGAACGTTTTTATTTATTCTCTTGTAACTATTAAAAATGTTTCCCGTGTGACATTTCTATTATCATTTAGTTATTAATAAAAAACATCATGCTATGCAATTATAATCAACATAAAAATTTATTAAATTGAATATGTAATATAGTTTAACAATTTAATTAATAATTGATTTAATGACATAATAATTCTGAAAAAAGAAAATAACAGGAGATTTGAATTAAATTTAACGACTTTAACAAATCGAAAATAACTTTAGGGTTTAACTACCTTATAAGTTTAATTATTACTTGCATTTTTAATTTTATTATTATTTTTTTTTTTTTGAAAATAACGGCTATCTTTGTAACTAAAATATCTATAATATGAAGTTTTCAATTGAAATTTAATCTATCAGGATAAACTAGTTTCGTATTGTACCTATCTGAAAGACACTGTTATTATTTTAGTTTTGATCTTTTACGTGTGGTAATTGATGTCATACCTAATGTGAAAAACGAGATGATGGTACTTTTACAAATTTTTTTTTCAAATTAAAGTATATTACATAAGCTTTAATTTAAGATATATATAAAAGAGTCAGTATTTCCGGAATACTTTCAAAAATTAAATTGAAAATGTCCTAGTTTCATTTTTTTTTCAAATTTTGAGGGTAATGTCTTCGACTTGATACGATTTGTGATCTTTTGACATATTTTTCATCAAAATCGGTTCAGCGAGAGCTGTGATTGAGCGTATACAGACACAAAAAAAAACAACACATCATAGTAAAATTAATACCTTCTCAGCTTCGCATCGAAGCTAAAAAAAAAATAATAATATTCAATTAGAAAATCGTAAGAACAATCTCGTTGGTACCCTGGGGATCGAACCCGGGACTCTGTGCGCCGACGAAACATACGTTTCTTTCTACTAGGCCAAGTCAACCCCTTTGTCAACCCCTTTGTCAACTGCGGTCATCGTTATAATAATGAAAAAACATTATTAATTTCTATACAAAAAACGCATAACAGTATAGCCAAAAAAAGAATTCTTACAATTGTTTGCTGTTTAACAGCAATCACGTTACTTCTTTTAAAATCTATAATATTTAAAATATTATAATAAAATATTAGCTATTCAAACTCATTGCGCGATAACTTTTGCATTCCGGTTCGAAATTTTAAATTAAGTACACTCAGGTACGATGTCCAAGTGACAAGTCGTTGCGGCGATCAATTACCATGTCAACTGTTGTCTCACAAACGAACAGACACTGAGACTGCATAAATAAATGTCTTCATTTTAAATTATACTAGTGTACTAGGACTAGATGTCATTTCAATAATAGTTAAGGCTATTGCCATACACTATTATAGTCCCGACTAGGCTTCTTTCACACAAAGCCACCATTGTCGCGCTACCAGAAAAATTAGATATAGTCAGGTGCACAATAGTCAGGCCGCTAGATTTTACACAGTAACGAACATGAATATACGAATTTCTGGTACTTGATTTCGACATTTGACACAAAATACTGATACCATTTAAACTCTTAACTATACAAAGTCGTTGAGCTATACCTTATGAATACCTAGTACGAAATTTTAATCTTTTGAAATGGCACGAAAAAACGCGGAACTAAAAATAGAACATATTATATTTATAGTACTAATAATTATTATTTAAATTATTCACAATTTTAACATATTATTTTAGAATTCGAAAATATTCATTAATTTTAGAATGTCATTAATTCATAATTATTAAAAAAAAGAGTCGAGCGAAATAAATACCATTTACTCTTATAAACTTGAAAATAATTTAAATACGACATAATTGATTTTAATTTATAAAAAGTAATAGAAGAGCTTATAAGTCAAAATCTAGCGGACAGTTATAAATATATTTAACTTATGATATAAATTCAAAGTATATGTTTACCAAAATAAAACTTAATGATAAAAATTAGGTTAATCTCCTAATAAAAATATGTATAAATCATCATAGCAATAACCATCGTATAAGTATAACTTTTATCTTATTTAGTATTCTACTATGTTAATACATTTTTCTATTTAAACTATAAAAGAATAGAAAAGTAGTTAACATCAGCCAACTAAAAAATTAGCTTTAATTACAAGAAAGTTTGTTAAATAATAATCAACAAATTATTAGGATTCTTAATGTTTTGATACAACGCCATTATTTTCTGTTGACATATTATATTTCAAAAATAAGGAAATAGTTTTGTTAAATTAGCAATTAAAAAATTTAATACATTTCTAGGGCCCTTGAAATTTATGATCTTATGTGGCTTTAGCCATATCTGGATGCATTAAATTTAATAAAAAGATGCATTTTTATTGTTAAGGAAAAATTTTTTCAAACAAAACGATTTAGTATAAATACCCACTCAATTTGAAGTTCTTTAAATCCGGTATTCTTATGTGAGTCACCAATATGAAAACTAGAATTTTTTCCATTTTAACATTTTTTATGAATAATTCATTAAACCCTTTATGCTTAATGTGTTCACTATAGTCTAACTAAGTAATAAGGTGTGACGGTGTAATTAAGTCATTAAGGTGAAAGTGTGTACATATTGAATGTTTTGATACTCAAAAATGGAAAATGCTTTCTTCAGTGATGGATTTTCCATCTATTTCTTATTATAAACGATTGTAAATTCCATTGTTAAGTATAAGTGATGGGTTTTTTTTTATGATAATATTAACACTCAATTGTATAACTTATAGCTATCCCTATAGCTTAACAGTAAAATTTTCGTTTGTTTTACACCCTTTTCAAAGTTAATTTTTGGCTTAGATAATAAAAAAATAGTATCTTTTATTATCATTATATTTTGTATTCCCAAAAGTCCTAAGATATGATATTTTTTCATGAAATGAAATTGGTAGATTTTTATTTTTACATTTATTATTGATAGTTTGTAAAATGAAAATACAAATTTTGATTGGTGATCATATAAATTTTGTAATTTGTTCAATATACTCCTGCGCGTGAAGATAATCGTGAGCGCTCCAACAAAAGTACAGCGGAGTATATGTGCTTATAAAACTATTAGTTATATAGCTATTAACGTTCTTGCAGCAGTGCCTTCTATCGCATTTCTAGCGGCAGAGAGAGAGAGCGGGCATACGTTGAACACCATGAACCTAGCCCAGAAGAGCCTCTATAAGCTAGGATTAGAATTAAGTCATTGTTGTAATAGTTATAAGGATTTGTTGTTTATAAATAAAATGTATCGGATGGTCCAAGGGAAGTAATGCTTCACGGCTAGCCCCCCTGGGTTATCTATGTATGTATAAGAAATAAAAGAATGTGATGAATTAAGGTACTGAAAGTTTGTATAATTTTCAAACTATTTTCACAATAATGGCAAACTATGCTTTTTATCATTATAATAATAGAAATATATATATTTTTTTTTTAAAGAAAACCTTGACTGTTTGATACCTATTCCGATACTTACGCCTCTGTATTATTAATGTTAAATTATTGTTAATGTTACATTATTCATAAAATTCCAAGTGGGAAATTCTTTTAATAAAATAAGGAGTATATTTACAATTATGTTTTCAAAAATATCGTTAGCAATACCACGAACAAAGTCAATGCCATGGTTATTAATAAACAAACAAATTTAATATTTTTACAAAATTATTTATTCAATATAACAAATATATTCACATTTTAAATTTAAATAGTTGTTAAGTATTTCATAATCAAATCGACTACTTAAATTACGAAACAATTTTTCACAAGTTACAGTATGTAAGTTATGATTAAGATTACTCAGTATATGATAAAGATAATTCCTAAAAGATGCCAACAATTACTCTAATGTTTAATTTTTTTTGACATATTTATTAAAAAATTTATATATTGTGTCAAAAATAGTATAAAATACTACTATATGAGTAGTAATTATTACAACTGGATATTTAATAAAAATCATACATTACATGGAGTGTAGTCATTTAGATTTCTAATTTTGTTTTCAATTTTGTCACTCCCTGAAACATAAAATTACTTAAAAATTAATTGTTCTTAAGTTGTCAAAATAATTCTAATAGTTTCCTGTTAACAGTATATTACTAAAATTCATTTCAATGGATTAAATAAAAATTATTTTTATTTGATCTTTCAAATTCTAAAATATGATTCATTTTTAGGTATTTTAAACGTCAATTAATTTTCTTTGAAACATTTTTTAGATTTTTTAATTTTATAAAGGTATATTTTTTACTTCAAAAGTGAATAAAAACATCAAGAAATTATTGAACTTTATCATGCTTTCCTAAGTTAATAGAAATACAAATATTTTTTATTACTATAAATACTGGTTGTAAATTAAAAATCTTACCCCAATATAATTTATGAATCAAAATGCCAACATATATAGAGATTGTGTAAAAAAAGAGCATTGTTAACAATATTGCTACACTTATTGGAGCACTAAATTTTGAAAATAATGGGTAAAGCCAGCGACCTGTTTCCACATAAGTTTCAAACACACTAAAAAAAAATAATTGTTTAAAACTGATAAAATTATTTTTAATAATAGAGCATACACAACTAAATAAAGTAACAAATAAGAATAAAGTATTTTCACTAGTGTTATAGGAGATAAAAATGAATGTTTCGTGGTAAATAATTCAACAAGTGCAATTGGTAAGATGAATGTGTGCATTCCATGATTATGCCAAAATGGTATGACTTCATCAATAATTCTTGGGTACAAATACTCACGATTTATAGCAAATAAAATCCAAAATGAAATTGATATATACTGTAAAAATTCGTAATTGAACAAATAAAAAATAATGAATAATTATATGTTGCAAAAAAAAAACAGAACTTTCATTATCTATTGAGGTCTATAAAGTAATTATTTTTTCCTAAGTTATTTGTTTTGGAGGTACGGTGAATATAAGATAGTAGATTGTTTAGCATATTAAAACTTTATTTTTAATGAATAATTTTTACAATCCCTAATTACTGTAATTATTTTATTAATATCAAACAGTATAAATAACATTTATACATTTTCTTAACTATACATTTATTTTATTTATGATAACTTTAATTCATAATATTTGGTGCAAATTAATTTGTATTAAGTATAATACTTAAATGAGTTTTCATTTTTATCATGAGTATATAATATTTATTACTTTAAAAAAATTGTTTATTAGTAATTTAAATAAGTAAAAAAAAATGGAAGTAATCTATATTGATTTTTTTTCAAGTTTTAAGCATATTTAAACGATTTACTTAATTTTATGTACATTTTATCAATTTTTTTACATCAGAAATATACATAAGTCTGAGAAAGAGGTGTATTTAATTTCAAGAACCAAACAAGTTTTTTAAGGTAAAATGGGGAAGTTTGTTATGAAGTAAACAAAGTTAAATTTTGTTTTTATTCTTTGAAAATAGTATTTGTTTGCGAATATCACTGTTAAAATAATGACTTTTTGGTTTTTACTTTGTAGCGTACTATTAAAATAACAAAATAATTAATATTAATAATTAATATTATTAATAAAATTGATTATTTTATTTTTATCGAATAATTCTTTTATGTTACAATTATGTTTAAATGAATCTACTATTTAAGGGCTATGTATAGGCATATAATACCTATAGCCTAAGGTTACAAAAGACACTAGGTAACAAGTTGTTAATTTTTTTTTTTCTATACAATTTTCTCTGTTTATTTGTTTAAAAGTTGAAAATTTTGTTTCATTTTTCAGTTAAAATTATTTAATAATATAGAGATGATATAATTTCAATATTTTGATGTGTAAACAATTTTTTGGGAATAATGTAATGTTTAAGTTAGTCTTATAATCTATATTTATATTGGTTAATGAAAATAGCACTTACAATTGCACTAGGTAGTATTATTGATGCGAAAAATGCAGACATCACCATTTTAAATTTGTTACCAATTCCAAGCCAGTTTGGGCCATATAAAATTATCATGGCATCATTAATTAGACATTTGAGAAAGAATAGTAATTGCATAGTCTATAATTATATAATATTCATTAATTTATTGTTGCTTTAAAGTTTTTATACGAAATACACTCTTTTAGTTTTAATTTAAAAATAAAATTGTAATTCGCACTAATTTTTATTGTCATAAACATTATAGGTACAACTAAAATGGAGTTTTTGAAGGACTAAAATATATGTTTCCCTTACTTTAAAAATATTTTGATATAAAAAAATATATTATATATAAAATATATTATATTGTATTTGGAGGTTAATTTAGCAACTTAGGGCTAAGATTTGTGCCAGTGATAAACATAGTGATTAATAAGTACCACTTTTATTTTTAGTATTTTTTCAAACAAATTTATAAGTAAAGGGATCTGCGTTATGATAACGAACTTTCAAAAAGTAACTTACAGTGTCAATTTAAAGTTTTTTTTTTTTGAAAAAATTAGAGATATCCATTAAAATGGAAATCTTACTTAAAATGTTTTAAATTATTTGTATACGCTTTTTTTGTGTCAGTGTGTAAACTTCCTATCTAGCCAGCAATGGTTGGCCTCTCCTTTACATTTTATTACTTCTATTTTTTATCGAAGTAAGTAATTCAGAAATTTAATTTAATTTCTGTATATAATATAAATATTATACATTTATTAATACTATAATATTATTTGTATGCAAATAATAAATTATTGTTATTTCCGCAGTTTAGTATCCTTATTCCCATATTATTATAACTTCAGAAAATAGGTAACTAATTGTTGATAGATTTTATACTTACCAAATTCCAGTTTGTAAGGTATCTAAATCTTAATTCATTTATTTTATGATATTTAGGATCCCAATTTTTCGATTCTCCAAAACTTATTTTAATTAGTTGGTAAAAGAAACATATATACCATCCACATATTAATAAGTGTAAAATAAGTGGATGTGCTGCTGACATCTTCTAAATCTGGTAAAAAAAATTGTTGAAATAGCAATTTTAGAATTTATAATTAAATCTATATTCTGTAATTAGTATTTAAATTTTGGTATTTGATTTTTAGCGGAAATAAGAATAATTCAATGATTCTTTTATAACGCAAGCTACTGGATTTTTCTTTAAATAATAATAATGTTATGACAATTAATATTTTTTAGTTTCATATGTTTCTTGATTTATCTGTTGTTTTTACTTTTTTAATTAATCCCTTATACCTTATGATGGCGTTAGCTTAATTTTTTTTAATGACAACATTAAATAAATATCTAATTAAGAAAGTGACTATTTGATAACAATTTTTAGACCAGTTTTTCGAAAGTTCTTAACATTTTATACTTAAGCGAAAGGAAAGATGCCACCGAAGTTCTACTCTTAAACTTTTCATTCATATGCTGATTACCCGAAAATTACCATAACTTTTCTAGTTGGCCCAGGCTGTAGTTTCACATATGATTATGCTCTCTCGCAATTCCAATTAAATAAATTTTGCCTTTAGCTGGATATATTTTCGAATTGATACTTATTTTTGTTTTTGTATTTTTTTAATCCCAATTGAATTAAAGAAAACAAATATTAACTTAAAAATTACTATGAGACACTATTTATAATTATTATACTATCGAAAACCTATTTTTTCTGTATCAGTTGAGAAAACAGTTTAAATAAAAATAAAAATAAAATAAATAGAGTTATAACTTAGTAAAACATTTATTATTCCAGTTGAACCCAAAATATGATTAATTCTAAACGGGAAATTCTTTTTTACATATTTGTATTATAATACGAAAATTGTATAAATGAACTTAATAATAATTACATCCCAACGTTACTATTAAAATCATAATTTCAAAAAACTTTAAATCTTTTTTTATGAGTTGATCTCAATGTTATTATTTTTCTATAATTGAATAAGATCATGGTTAAAGCTAATTTAAATTTGACTTCGTAATTAAAAGATATGAAAAAAAACTTTCAACGAATTTAAGTTATTGATCACATGAGAAAAAAATCACTATTTTAAAATATTTCAAACAAATTACTTTTAGAATGTTTGAATTATAATGTTTGATAAAAAATCATGATAGAGTTAAAACCTTAAAATAATTGAAAACAGTGAAATTCATATAAAAATTGAATAAATATTTATCAATTATTCATCAAGTCATTTTTTTTCTAACACTATTTAGTCAAATATGTCCTGAAAAAATTATTTAACGTTTTTTCATTGATTAAAAATACTTTTTTTCGAGTGTAACAAAAAATTATGAAATATTTGTTATTTGTCAAGTAAATAATTAATAATTTTGTTATACAGTTTTGAAAATAATACATAGAGTTTTATAAGAAAATAAATTTAAGAAGTTACCTGATGGTTTCTTAAGGACAGTCAGAGGAACTTGTTTAGTCTTAGTCACCAATTAGTACTGAGATATTATGCGGTATTAAAACTCTAATGAACCACAACGAGTTAAAAAATAAAATTGGAAGAGATCGCGAATAGAAGAAGGGTCCCGTCCTTCAGAAAACTTTATAAGGTATTATCTTCTTAAAATTATCATTTTCAATATAAAATGAAATATTTTATTGTGTTGTAAATAAGATTTCATTTAATTAAGTTAATAAATAGTGTTTGCATAAATCATCAAATAAATAATTATAAATACAGAGAAGTTTTTTTATATTTTTATTGTTATTATACACCTCAACGGAAGTAACAAATTTCAACGATTTTTCGATCCCCAAGTTTATGTAAAAAAGTTTATTTTTACATATTTTGCTGATAATAGAATATTTAGTTTATTTTTCATATTTTAGAATATAATCATATATTGTTAGAAAAATAAATATTAAATATATACATTAAATAATAAATTAATTATTTAATTTTCTCAAATAAAAATTGTTTTTTCTGTGAAAAAAATGTTCAATGTCATTAAATAATTGGAAAAAACATTCGAAGACTATTTGTTTATTTTATAATTAATTAGTTTAATCTAATTAAAGTTAGTCACTTTAATCTCAATTTTTATAATTGAGTTTATTATTAAATTGTAAAATATGAATATGATGAGGAAAATTAATTAAAAATTATACATACAAAAAATATAAACAAATAATTAGATGTCTCGCCATTAAATGGACAAATTTTTTTTTCTATTAGTAGTATCTAAATAGCGGGTTCTGGGGATCAAAGGATGCCGCCATGGTAATTAGTGTCATACGTCATCAAAAAGTAATAAATTAATACCTATAATTTATACCTATATTTATATACCTATAATTTATACCTATATTTACCTATAATTTGGTTTTTTTTTTTTTGAAAATCTACTTGGCCTGGGATATTTGAAATGACAACTTCTGCACATAGAATCAACTTTTTCAACTTAACTTTTGAAAAAGTTCTGAAAATACTGATACTTCTATAAATAAAGGTATATTTAATATAGTTTAATTTGAAAAAAAATAAATTTATAAAAAACAAAATTTTTAAAGGATTATAATAAACGGGTTCAAGCAATTTTTACATATACTTAGACTTTTTTAAACAATATAAAAACTTGAGTGGCCTATGTGATAAAAAGAGTATTTTTTGTTAAACTAGTAATCGTTTGACATCATTAATACAAAACTTTAAAGTTCTCTTAGTCTTAAACCTCATTAACCTTTCAATATAATATAATATTTGATCCTTAAAAATTAATTATAACTTTTTTAATGTTATGTTTCATATTATTTCAGTGACGAAATGCAAAAAATATTTGCTATTAATTATCCCCTCTATATTTTTTTTATTTACATAATATATTTGAATAAGAAAAGTGAGCCACTAATAATTCTTCGAGCTTACTATTAGCGATGTGTGTATTGTAGTAACTTTAGTTGATTAACTTAATTTTGTTTCGTGGTATTTATTACAATAAAAGATGATTTCGAAAGTAAATTTTCGTCAGCAGCCTTGTGCATTTATTCGTATGGTAATTCATGGATTGCTTACTTTTTTATATTTTTATACAATTAACGAAGCTATGAAATTAGATTTATCTGTAATTAATTTACCTACAATTAAAGATCTTGACAAGTATATTAAATTTTCAGTAACATATTTAACATTGGTAAGAACTTTTCAATATTTTATTTTTAGATTTTTGCCAGTTAAAATAAATCAAAATATTTTAAAATTAAATTTTAAGATCATTAAAATTAATAGATATAATATTACAATAATTAGTATAATTAAATGTATAAGTACTTTTGTACCAAACGTATGTTACAAATCAGTAAATGAAATAATAAAAATTTTGTAATGAATTTTAAAAATAGCTGTCTGGAAAATTTTTTTAATACATTTTTTGCTTTTAAAAGTTTTTGTTTAGCAGTTAAATAATAAATTATTTTATTTTCCATAAGAATTATATTGTAGAAAAATCATTTATAATTATACTATCTAGAGAGTGTCTAATATTTAGTCTACTTAAAATTATGAAATTTTACATTGTCTAATCTTAAGCATGTTTCAGTATCCCTTTTTAAAATTAAAAATTTAAGTTTGAATTTTTGATATATTATTAATATAATATAAAATATAATTATTTTTTACACATTACTAAATGTTGTGGACACTAGTGTTAGGTTTTATAGTAAATCCTAAAATATGAAAATTATTAGTAAAAGAAATCCGAGCTTTTATAGTTTGACCTTCTTTTTATTATATTCAGAGCTTCTGACCTTAAATATAAATGTAAATTTATATTTATGATATATTTTATGTATGCAGATAACTTAATTAGAAATGTATTTAAATTTAATAAAACAGATATCCTTGAGTATTATAATTGTTCAATTTACAATAAAATTACTTTTTATTATCTTAGTATTTTAAAATATTTCTATCTTAGTTATTGGTTTGGTGTCGATTGACCCGGTATGTTCCATACCACTCAAAATATGCTTTTTATACTAATTGTAATAGTTTTATATTATAATTTTAATTATAATAGAATATTATTATAGTTTTCACAAGTTACGAAATGATAAATACAGAGTGATTGAGTAATTATGACTCACGCAATATCTTTGAAAATATAAAACTTATATTATTTTATTATTTTTTTCTTTTAAGAATTTAATAGTATCCTATGTTCTATAATTAAAAAAAAAAATGGTTCTATCCTCCAACCTCTTTTAAATAATATAAACTTAAGCTTTTTTTATGTAAACCTATATATTTAGTCGTTAATGATCTAACTAAGAAATTGACTGATCGATGACAAATTTTGTTTTAATAAATAACATATCATTGATCATATGAACAAGAATACTTTTGTACTAATATAAATCAAAAGACTGAGTTTGTCTCCATTTCACGCCACACTCTCCTAACTTGAAATGTCTTCTGAATACGCTATTGTGTACAATATACGAGTAATTCAACTCAACTGTAGTTACTATTAGTCAATTTAAACATTTTTAATACAATTATTACAAATTATTCTACACATATATACAATAATTTTACTAAGTACCTTATTCTATGAATAATATGGATGTCGAATATGTTTGATTTGAATTTTTAAAGAATATTACTCTTTGTTTCTTATCTTTACTAGCCCTATGATTTCACATCACAAAATACACTCATGCGTAATTATTCAAATTTCAATTGAATAGTATATTTCAACAACCCTACAAGATATCAGTTTTAAATTTTTAAATAAATTAAAATAGAAATTTTACTAATACATTTCCAGGAAAAGTGATGATTCTTTAATAAATGTACCATTAAAATTACAAATATTTATATTTCTTTTATTAATTAATATATAAAAATTGAATAAATGTAAAGTTATTTCAATGATGTGAAATTTTACATTTTAATGAAAATATGTTAAGTTACGGCATATCCAAGAAGTATTTTACACATTAGTTTATTTTGGTCGAAATGAACGCCATTTGTTGTCAATTATATAATATTACAGTAGCTATAGGAAAGATATTAAATAAACGTATAATCAAATAATAATAGAAATAAAAATTAAATTAAACAATTAATTTTTGTACAAACTTAACAGAATTATCTCACATCTGTTAAACGGATTTTGTTAATAATTTTTTTTTTAGTGCTTATTACTTGGTTTTTTTTCCTTATCTACTGCATTGGATATTGCCGAAATGATTCCACAACCAGCTGCAATAAATAAAGTACACAGCATCATTAGAAAACTGAATGATTTATTTTTTATATCTACTTCAATACCAATAGCGATGGTAATGTATTTATGGCTGTTATGTTTGCTTCTTTTTCATATTGTGTATGTTTATTCAGTGCTCAGTCTATGTATATAATGAAATACAGTTAATAATTTTTTAAAATTAAACACTATCTAAAGATTTGCATCGAAAATATCAAAAATGATACCTAGTTAAAAACATTACCCTGAAAAATTGAAAAAATACTTCGTATCTCGTTAATGGTGGAAACCCCAAAAAATTATAATTTTTTAAATCAGTAAATTTTTTAACTTTTAAATTTTAATTTAACTTTTGACACACTATTTGGGAATTTATAACAACTTTAAAATATACAGAGTGTTCAGTAAGTCAGGAAACGGGTTTCTATTGTTCTCATTGTTTGTAACAATGAGAACAATAGAAACCCGTTTCCTGACTTACTGAACACTCTGTATATTGAAAGTGAACTGTTGGTCATTTTATTTTTATCATTATGCATTACTCTTTCGCGCTTTCCCATCATTCTATATTTGAAAATGTTAATAACTTCTGAAGTATTATTTCAAAATTTATTATTGACCAGTCATGTACTTAATTGGATCATTTTTTAACACGCTCATATTAGTTTCACATGTATATTGTGTGTTTGTTGTTTGTAAATCTCTACCCGCCACGTATTATTATTCTCCCGTACCCCATCGTTTATAGCCTTGAGACTAGACGGTCGTAATGCATTCACCCCACCCCGCTTACCACTCGACGTATACAATATTTCCTGTATTATTTTATTTTTGGATTTCGTACCCGTACACGGTGTGCGTGTCATCAAATATATATATATATAAAAAATTTTTATTTTAACTGACCAATACCGCCCACGTGTAATGCGCCTTACGTTTATGTATTTATATATTCCTACCGCCGCTGCCGCCGTTTATACCTTAGGTATAACGTTCCCCCGCCCACAAAACAAGGCTATTTCTAATGCATGATACGTTTACGTACTTAAGTCGCTTTACATGTATATATATATTCTAATTACTATTAAAAATATACAAACATAACACGCTTTATTCTCATTAAGAGAAATAGAGTGTATTCATTCCGATTACAAAAGTTGATTCCCGTATCGTTATTTTTCGTCACTATCTCCATGTTCCGGGAGTGGGTAATTTACGCGCCTGCTGCTTTCCTTGGATGAGGTAGCCATTTCTCAGATTCCCTCCCCGCAATCGAACCCTGATTTCCCGTTACCCGTTACAACCATGATATTGATAGTAACTACTATCATAAGATGAAACTAAAAAATGAAAAATAAATATAGTTCAATAAACTAAAAAAAGACGCTTTTAAAGCACATCGAACTAAAAAGTTAAAAATAATTTTCAAAATAAGCTTAAAACAATAATGAACNTAAACTAAAAAAAGACGCTTTTATAGCACATCGAACTAAAAAGTTAAAAATAATTTTCAAAATAAGCTTAAAACAATAATGAACGAAAAATACTAGTATTATTGTGATAAAAGCGTGGGTGCTTTGTGCCATATTTTTCGTATATTGAGCGCCCGACGCTTTTATCACAATAATACTAGTACTTTTCGTACATTATTGTTTTAAGCTTATTTTGAAAATTATTTTTAACTTTTTAGTTCGATGTGCTTTAAAAGCGTGTTTTTTTAGTTTTTTAAACTATATTTATTATTTTATAAGCTGGTTAAATATGTATGTTGCCATGCTATCAGAGTATTATTAACGAATTTGATTATTTACAGTAATATTCAACAATAATTTTATTTGACTTTCTGCAATAAGTTTTTTGTATAATTCTATACTTTATAATTTTAGTGCGTATCTATTGTATTTTGGACTGGTTGGATATTAAATAGTGAAGATGTTTACCCTGAAGTAATGAATAATTACATACCAAAATGGATTAACCACATGGCACACACTGCACCAATATTTATTTCTTTTTTTGAATTATTATTTGTGTATCATAAAACACTAACTTTAAAGGTTTCTCTAACGTGCCTTATTACAACGACAACATTGTATATGTTAACGTGAGTATAATAATAATAATTTTCGATACTTGTAAAAATAAATATTTTCCTATAATTTAGAGATTTGTTTGTCTCTAAATAGACTAGATATCACGCTAAACTGATGTGTTGTTCGTGAAATATTTCTTAAGTAATATTAAATTAAGGTTTTATATTTATACTGGCTTAAGAAGAAAATATTTTAATTAACAAACTAAACTATAAAAACATCATCTAATATAATTATTTTTCGCCAAGTTTTTACTATATTTAATTATCATTTTAACCCAACTTTAACAAAAAAAAAAAAGTTCTAATAAAAAATATTTATCTGTTAGTTTTAATATTTTCAGGGAGAATTATTGTAGCATTTAATGTTCATAGAATAAGTCAAATATTAAAAGAAAAGGAGGTATCCCTTTGCAAAAATAAAAAAATGTTCGATTTACCAACTATTTATGAAAAATTATAATTTCAATTTTATAATTAAGATTACAATTAACTAACGAAGGTTAGAATAATCCATATTTCTTTCTTTTTAAAATTTCTTTATACAATTTACAACACTAAATTATTGAACATCACTTTCTTATTTAATATAATTTATTTTAATTTTTAATTTTTTTAATTAATCTATTTTTACAATTTTGATTCACGTTTGACATGCCTCTACGGCAACTGTTATAGAGTATTGATTAAGTAAGGAAACAGATTAATTATTACAAAAAATGAGAACAATTGAAACCCGTTTCCTTACTTATTGAACATTCTATATACTACATGAAGAAGTTCTTATTATAGAAATTATTTATTATTTATAATAATTTGTAAGTTGTAGATTAGTATTTGTTCATTTATACATGTATAAGTCATAAAAATTGTAATCAAAATATGATTATGGAAATAGAAGTTGAAGTTGCTTTTGAAATAATCCAAAAATTTCATCAAATAATTAAATACTATAATTCTTGAAGTATAGTACAATATTACAAAAAAAAATTATTCCCGGCGATTGTTCCACTATGAACAAATGTCTGTAAAAGTAAAAAAATTAAAATGTTAACAAAAAAAAAAGGATTTTATTTTCAATTTTTGAGTTATTTGACTTTAAAATGCATTATTTCAACAAAAAATTGAACAGATTTGCATTAAAACGTTTTTTATGACAGTGATTTTAATCACTGTCAGTTATCATCTATATTAGTTCCAACTATGCCGCATCTCAACTATTTTTAAAATATAAAATCCGAATTCTTCAAGAAATGGTATGTATTCTTTATTTTGTGTAATTTCAGATTAATTACACTACGAGTTAAAAATGGAACATGGGCCTATTATATAATTGATGTATACGTCAACACAATATTAAAAATTATTATAATGTTTTCATTTTTCTGTTACATTATGCCGATAATTTGTTCAATTTTTTGTCGCATATTAAACGATTATTATTGGGGTAAGTAAAAGTGAGTCTTTTGTCTTTTGTCTTAGTGATTTTTAATAAATTTTACAATTACAGGGACAAAATATATTAAAAATGCAAACATTTTGTCTTCAAATAAGAAAATCGAATAAAATAATATTAACATGATTTTTATCACTAGTGTTTCTGATTAATAATAAACAAGAACTATATGATTTCATTTTTCTCGATAAAATCAAACAACCTTATACTATTTTAAATCTATAAAACTTATATTTAATTAAAATGAATAATATAATTTTTCAAATATCAAATCAAATTGTTATGTTAAAAATAAATTACAAATTGTTTCATGCATTTTATTTATGTATTATTTTCATAATAAAATTTTTATTGTTACTAAAAAAATTAGTTTTCCAGGTCTCTTCGCAGAGTAATGTTCTGTAAAATGCTTTAAAGGTATCGATTACATTCTGTATATATTATATATGTATTAGAAATATTATATTAATAAGGTCAAAGGAGAATTTGTGTTAAATTTTGTTTTATTTTATCTCCTAGTAAAAAGCAATTACTTAATAATTGAAAGTCTATTAATAAGGGCATCTATAAATTCACCTGAAAATAATATAATTTTAAAATAATAAATGAACTCTCATAAAAAGTAATAAATATTATTATTATTACTTTTAAAAAAGTGCAATATACGCGTTAATTAACCTGAATGAACTATAATAATACGCAGATAGCTCTTTAGATTACGCGCTGTCTAGTTTTCCATTCCAAATAATTAGGAATTTTGATAAAAATAATTACACAAATTGTTTACAATTATAATATTTTTGTAATAGTTTTATCATTTTTAAATATGCAGAATTTATTTAGTGTAAAATGACATCGAATATCAATGTTAATTTCCGTGATCAGCCTTCTGCACTTATTCGTGTAGTAGCCCATGGCTTCATTACTGTTTTAATGTTTTATACTATTTTAGAAGCTGATAAAATAGATTTTTCTGAAATTAAATTATCCACCATCAGAAATCTCGAAAAATATCGTTATTTTACATGTACATTTTTAACAGCGGTAAGAAAATTTTATAATATATTACTCAAAATATTATTTTATTTTTTAAAAAATCCAATAATTGATGAAGGAATATCGAAATTAGTAGTTACCTTATATTTTTTGACACGATATCATAATTTTATATTTTTATTTTAATATTAAATTGTACGCTATTTTATAAATATTTGGCTTATAGCCAAAGCTGATAAGTCACAAAAATAAGGATATAGAATATTTTTTTAGAATTTTTACTGAAAGGGATGTTTTTTGTCATGTACCAAAAAATAAAATTCAATGTAATTGAGAATTTTTTTTTTTACTTAATAAATTTGGATTAGCATGAGACACTAATGAAATTTTAAATTTGTTAGAGTAACCTGAAGCAAGATGACCCATGACGTACTCTCATCATTAGTAAATTTATAAACACAAAAAATTTTGACTATATTTATTATACAGCATTTTAAAAACTGTAATACTGTGTAAAAGCTGATTAAGTTTCGATATTAAACATTTGTAAGTGTAAATTTTCACTTATAAATTTTGTTAAAAATTAGAAAACTCTATGTTTTATTAAGGTACAAAATTATATTTATTTTTTAAATTATGGAAATAATATTTCACAAAATACAAATTTTTTTTGTTTAAGTACTTGCATTCCTTATTTGTATGATATCCAATAGGATTTGTAATTCCTTTTGTTCAACGTTTAAATAGATTAACTTTAATTCAAAATTGTATTTTACGTTGTTAAACATTTAACATTAGTTAAAAATGCATACGTTTAACATTGTTCACTTTAAAATTTAAATTAATTTGTAGTTAAATGTGTTGTAAACAATTAAAAATATGACTAATTAACATAAGTAGTTTGAAGAAAGAACTAAAGAAAATTTTATATAATATTTAAAATATAACCTTTAAATATCATTTATTTAATGATCATGTTTTAATACGTATTTTTTTACGTTATAAATAGAATTATTTTCGTTGATATTACATGGATTTTCTTTATGAACAAAAAAATTTAAAACCAAATGAAGAACTAGGGGTCAAAATCGGCCCGATGAGGGTCTAAAACACATCCAATTTAAGGGAACACATTAATCAATTTAATTATAATGTTGATAGGCATAACAAAGAACTAAGCACTTAGGACTAAGGGAGGCTTAGCAACTAGTTTATAAGTAAGCACTCTCCCACAATATTTGGATAATTATGTATAAATACACAATTTTATTTTAACAATTATACTATAATATAAAATATCAATTAAGGCGGAGGAAAATAAATTTACCTTTCAGAGTAATTATATTTTAGTACGCCTAAGTCTGTAGTGTCATTAAATTTTTTTTTAGAGAATGGGATGTTATAATTTCAAATAATATCAATGATCTTTTTACTTGCTAAAAGAAACTACTATTAAACATCTAATAGACCGGGTCTGGAATAGATTTCAAAAAAAAAAATCATGAACTAGTCATTGGGTAGGTCTGATAGGCTTTTTTTTTGTGGATAATTTGGCTGGACTAGGCCGAGACCTAAAATTAAAGCCCATGTAGGACTCTATTAATTATTTTTCCTTTTACAGAGTTTGACTTTTATGATTTTTTCCTTATATACTGCGTTGAATTTATTGGAAATTATTCCAAAACCCGATATGATGAATAAGTGCTGAAAACTATTCGGAAAATAAATGATTTATTGTTTATATCTATTTCATTACTAATAACAATTGTAACACACCTATTACTTATTTAATTTCTAAATGTGCGTTCAGTGCACATTTTAGTATTTAAAGAAGATGTATTTCTACCATATGTATTTCATAACTATTCAAATGGATTAATATTTAAATCTAACAATTTCACTAAAATACATACTTCTTTTCGCAGAAAATATAATTAAAAAACAACTAGCAAAATTTGATCATAATTCTATTATATCATATTTCTAGAACGTATGTATTATATTTTGGCTTGGTCGCATGCTATACGGCAAAGATGTTTATCCTGATGAAATGAATAAATACATTCCGGAATGGATAAATCATATGGCTCATACAGCACCAATATTTTTTTATTTTTTCGAAATTTTTTTTGAAAATCATAAAAGTCCAAGTCTAAAAGATGCTCTTACTTATCTTACTACAACTATCACAATATATACAATAACGTAAGTATTATTGTAATTATAATCCTTATAATATAACTATAAGTAATATAGATTTATATTCTTTAAAAAAATAATTACGCTAAAAATTTATTTTATGAACAAAAATAGATTTATAGAATAGTTGATTCACCTTAAAAATTTGATGGAAAATATGTCAAAAGATCACAAATCGTATCTAGTCGAAGACATTACCCTCAAAATTTGAAAAAAATGAAACTAGGACATTTTCAATTTAATTTTTTTAAAAATGAAAGTGTCAGTATTCCGGAAATACTGACACTTTTATATATATCTTAAATTAAAGCTTATGTAATATACTTTAATTTGAAAAAAAAAAATTTTACCTCTGAATTTGTCTTCATGGAAAAAATGACTACCGTATTCAAAAATATGCTATTTTTGTGTTAAAAAGTATAATGTACGAGGTATGTCAAAAAAATTCCTGGACGACGTTTCGTGTGCGTTGTGTAGAAGCACTGAGTCGGAAACAACTATGCAGTCTCGTTCCTACAGCTGTCTAGTATCAGTATACAAAATTTCAAGTCGATCGGTCGCGTCTAACTGTATTTAAAAAAATAATTATAAAAAGTTGTTTGTGCCTTGTGCTGATGAAAAATGAAAATCGATAAAAAATTAAAACAAAGAATTGTGATCAAATTTCTCGTGAAATTGGGCAAAACAAACGCCGAAATTGAAAATATCTTGTCAGCTGTATGTGGTAAAGATACGATAAGCCGCACAACGCTGTACGGGTGCATTAGTCGGTTCAGAGAGGGGCGAGAGGCAGTGACTGATAACGCTCGCGAAGGCAGACCACTAACAGCGCGCTCGATCGAAATGGTTGCAAAAGTGAAGACTAAAATCGACGAAGACCGCCGAAAAACACTGAGAGAAATCTCTAGCAGTGTTGGAACATCGCACGAGAGTGTGCGTTCAATTTTACGGGAAGATTTGAATTTGCGAAGGTGTCTTCACACATGGTTCCGCGAGTGTTGACGGACGATCAAAAACGAAACCGCGTTGAAATCTGCAGAGACTGGCTGGAAGCTGAGGAGAGCGACAACATTTTGTCTCGGGTAATCACAGGTGACGAGAGTTGGATTTTTGAGTATGACTTCGTCATACTCAAAAAACGGGCTGACATGGTGTGGCTAACACCTGATGAACCAAGAGCGAAAAAAGCGCGCAAAAGCAAATCAGAAGTGTAGGTGATGGCCACTGTTTTTTTCGACTGCCGCGGCGTGATACTCCTGGAATGGACTCCAAAGGGTCACACAATCACTGGACAAGCCTACCTTGAGATTATGTAACGTTTGAGAGAGCGCATAAGGAAGAAGAGGCCAGAATTGTGGAAAGACAACTCTTGGGTTCTTCATCAAGACAATGCGCCAGCACACCGGTCCTTCATTGTGCAAGATTTTTTGGCCAAAAACCAAACGACAGTGCTACCACATCCACCCTATTCACCGAACCTTGCACCCTGTGACTTTTTTTTTGTTTGATAAACTGAAAGATTTGATGAGGGGAACACATTTGGGGGGTTTGGAGGAGATCAAACAAGAATTGGCACGGCTACTATACAGCATGCCACAAAATGACTGGCAAAAATGTTTCGATAACTGGAAAAAAAGAATGCACCAGTGCATTAGTGCCAGGGGGGACTACTTTGAAGGGGATAAATTTATTGTAACTNCTACTTTGAAGGGGATATATTTATTGTAACTTAATTTTTATAATGAAGCACGTTTTTGCCCAGTGTCCGGGAACTTTTTTGACATACCTCGTTAGTATATATTAAACCTAGTGCATGATACGTTTACGTACTTAAGTCGCTTTACATGTATATATATATTCTAATTACTATTAAAAATATACAAACATAACACGCTTTATTCTCATTAAGAGAAATAGAGTGTATTCATTCCGATTACAAAAGTTGATTCCCGTATCGTTATTTTTCGTCACTATCTCCATGTTCCGGGAGTGGGTAATTTACGCGCCTGCTGCTTTCCTTGGATGAGGTAGCCATTTCTCAGATTCCCTCCCCGCAATCGAACCCTGATTTCCCGTTACCCGTTACAACCATGATATTGATAGTAACTACTATCATAAGATGAAACTAAAAAATGAAAAATAAATATAGTTCAATAAACTAAAAAAAGACGCTTTTAAAGCACATCGAACTAAAAAGTTAAAAATAATTTTCAAAATAAGCTTAAAACAATAATGAACGAAAAATACTAGTATTATTGTGATAAAAGCGTGGGTGCTTTATGCCATATTTTTCGTATATTGAGCGCCCGACGCTTTTATCACAATAATACTAGTACTTTTCGTACATTATTGTTTTAAGCTTATTTTAAAAATTATTTTTAACTTTTTAGTTCGATGTGCTTTAAAAGTGTGTTTTTTTAGTTTTTTTAAACTATATTTTTGTTATCGTGTTTACTCATGAACGTCTTTGTGGTGTTCTCGAGTATCTATTATAATGTGTAATTGACTATTGTTGTACAGCAGTTGCTATAATTATTAAATATTTATTTTTAATGACTGTAATACTTAATGCGTATTGTAAATTATTTCAATTTTGCAATCGTTATATTTGTAATTTTTTGTTTGCGCGTATTTGTTGTTCTCTTTATGATTATTTTTGAATTATGATAATTTTTAAATTGTTAATATATCATTAGGGAAATGGCAGTATTAATTTAATTTGTTTTTGTAATTTTTAGACTGCTACACTGATGTGCCAGGATAACTAAGCTGTAGATTGTTGGCTGTTATCGCTATTGGATTTATTGCACGGGTAATTTATTTTCATTTGTTAAAAGAAATGTATTGCTATTGACTTTTCTTAAAATAGAGTTCATTTTTAACACGCCTATATTAGTTTCACATGTATGTTTGTTTGTATCACAATAATTGTAGTACTTTTCGTTCAATATTGTTTTAAGCTTATTTTAAAAATTATTTTGAACTTTTTAGTTCAATGTGCTTTAAAAGCGTGTTTTTTAGTTTTTTTTAACTATATTTTTATACATTTTAACCGATTTACTTTGGTTATATTTATCATTACTGTGATTTGTATTTCATTTGTTGGTGCAATATGTACTACATCAGTATAAAATCTCTCTCTATCCATCTATACATACATATATATTTACACATATATATATTTTTTTTTGCGTGTACTACATTTGTATTTGTGATTCCTTTTATGATAATAAATAAATTATGGAATGAATTTTATAATATTTTTTGTAAATTCGAGCTAATGGTTTCTTTTTAAAAAAATACCATTATCGTACAAAACTAAAATGTTTTTAAAATCCTGACAGTGTATTAAATACTTCAATATGTTTTGTATATATAACACATATTATGGATTATCGATTTGAAATCTTAGGATGTTTCTTTATTTATCGTTTTGATATGGATTTAATAATTTCATTACATTTCATTTACATTGAGTTTGTTATATTAACATACTAAGTCTTAATTTCAAATTATTATAATTTTAATAACAAAGTAGTTGAGTAGTGAGACAAATAAACTTGCTTCTTTTTTTTTTCGTACGGAAAACACATCGATTGGAGTTTAATTTTAATAGTTCAATTGTTATTATATAAAATCATTTTTTAAGTTAGTCATTTATTTTATACACAATTAGTAAATAATTAAAGGAACATCATATACAGGGTGGCCCACCACTCACTGACAACTTAAATAACTTTTGATCCAGTTAATATTTTTAGTTGATTTTTTTTTTTAATAATAGATATACGTTAGGTCTATAGCTATATCTCAATAATTAATTTTTTTACATTTTATTAAAAATATTAATTATTTTTAAATTTTAAATAAAATGTATAAAAAAAATCTAAGATAGCTATTTTGTAGAGTAAAATTTAAGAAAAATTTTAGTAAAAAAATATCTTATTAATATTCAGTAGTAAATATTCTGTAGCGTTTTGAAGTTTGTGAAAATTTACTTTTCAATATACTTTTGAATGAGAGTGATAAGTAATAATTGCCTTATCTAATTTCTTATCATGGTATTAATGCCAAGTTTGTAATGTATCTTTACATTAGTAATGTATATTTTTAAATACTGCTGTTGCATTCTGAAACAAAAAAATTGTACATTGTAAAATTACGAATTTATTGGATTGGTGTTAGAGACAGAACTGCTCACTGACAATTTGAAAAATCAACGCTTAGTTTATTAGAAATTACAAAAACAAAAAAACAATATCGAAACAGTTCTACCTCAAACTGTGTTATATATATGCATCACAAACCTTCCGTCATTTCAACTTCGGCTGGGAGTGGTTGGGGGTATTGCTTCGCCGACTTCTCCGACTTTTTGTATTGCTCTTTGCCAACGTTTTTTTTTTTTTATACCGTTCTAAAATAAAATAAAAATTGTCAAAGACGTGAATGGAAAATGGATGTTTGTTTATTATTACTTGGGCAATCTTTTCTCAAATGTTTTTTGCTTTTACAAATAAAACACACTGCGAAATTTCAAATTTTATTTCTATGCTATTTTTAAAATTACTCATGCATAATGGAATAGCATACTTACGTTTAGAATTTTGACGCCTCCCGTCAGTGGGTGATGGATGCTTCGACAAATAATAATAATTATTATTATTATTAATAATTGGTCGAACATATACGTGCTTCATATTGATGAACACTACTAGATGATTTTTACAATCGCAGGGGAATTCTGTGCCACTCCCAAATCGGAATTTGGACTTTGACACGGTATTTTTTTAAGGTTATTAATAATAAACGTAACACCGTTATGTTCTGACTGTGGAGTCAATTTATTTTGTTTTAAAGTTATAAAAATATTATAATTTATAATATACAAATGACGGGTAAACCGTAAGGTGCGGATATAACTCGACGACACGTACGGCGGATTTAAGTCACAGATGAACTGGTTTACATAGTCACCGACGTGTCTCGCGGTGCTAAACCCCCTGACCTGTCCTATCTACCGACCGCCGGATAAGACAAACTTGTGTTATCGTCAACACTAATGAGTGCGACGGTGGACAGCTGATAATCACGACCGGATAACGTGCTAATTCACGGTAAATGAATAGTGCGCTATTAAGGGCCGTGTCAACTTCGTTGCTTTATAATCTCCGAGAGTCGTCAGTATTTGAACCAATTTCAAAGAGACTCTGCTGCCGATTTTTGTTGACTTTTTTTGTGGCGCGATTAAAAAGCGCTATTTACTTATTTTACTGTACTTCCGGACCCTAAGACACTCCCCGGGGTCCACGTTCGATTTTACAGAAATCTGTTTCATTTTTTTTTTTCCTAAAACGCGCATACCTAACCAATGCAAATCGTTTTTTTTTTACAAAATTCGCGGCAAAACGGCTGCTGGTGTATTTCGTCACACGCGTAAGTTGGACTTTGAACTGTGTGACTTTTTAATATCCGTGTCTCGCACCACGACCCGGTTTCGGTCGTTTAACCGTTATTATTCGCATCAATGCGCTCGCGTTATGTTATCACCCCAATCCGTTGATCATAATTGAAAATTCACATTGTTTTAACACGAACTCTATTTTTTATTTATTATAAGTTTATTTGTAATAATAGCATTTATTAAATTAAATTTTTAAATAATGGTACACGCGTGTGTTTTGTGCCGCGCTGCCGTAGCTGACGGTGTCACTTTACACAAGTGTGTATATTAATTAATTGTTCTCGACTTGACGTGTTTCCTTCCCACTGATGGATATTTTGCGTTCGTAGGTTTCCGAGAGATGCCCAAATTTGTGGCTGTTGTTTGTTGCGACTTGCGGTCGCGATCCGCTGGATGTAAACGTCCACAACGCGGTTTTGTGCTCCCGGCATTTCCTGGCAAGCGACTACGGCAATAGTGTCGTGCGTAGGGTACTTATCCGGGACGCGGTACCGTCTGTAAGTAACTGTTCGTTAATTGTCTTTATTCGTTTTGATTTTGTTTTTCCTATTAAGGTCAATGTCACGGAGCAACCCGATGTAATAAAGTTGTATAATATATCTGATTGACAATCGTAGTTACGGAGTCTGACAGTTCTTTTATTCATATTTCATACGGCCCGTATACAGTCGTTGTATAATTCCTATACGCATCGCTCTGAAACCATGTCATGGTAAATGTTGTTAAATGTTGTTACAACCATGTGCCGTCAATAGTCTGATTTTTTTTTTTATTGCGAAAAACATCGCGTACAAAGTCTGTCAGGTTCCGCACCCGCGTCATCCCGAACCGTAACAATAAACAACGGCACCGTACAGGTTCAAATTGTTTACTTGATGGACGACGATGTGGGAGATGCTGGACCGTCCGGAGGAAATGTCGTCGCTGCCGGTGTTGGTGCCGGTGGAAACGATTTGGTAAACATTATACGCATAATAATAATAATAATGAATTTACTGTATATTATTGTATTTTTATGTACGCAAACAATTCTGTAGGTTGAAGTGGTAGAAGTACCAGTCGAACCGTCGCCCGAATTTGTCGACGTCAGTAAAATTATTAAATCGCTTTTAAATACGATGGAAATATAAACCTTTAATTTATTTTTATTTTTTTCCTCTCATTGTGTAGCTTGCCGTCGTCGTAGTTCCAAACGAACCAGCCCTCGACGTCGCTCCGTCCGAAGTGACTTTAGTTATTTCGGACATTACAATAAATAGTATATTAAATATAGCATTCGGCTTTAATAAAATGGAATCTGTTGCACAGCGTGGCGTTCATTATATTATAATACGATGTACATCTTTTTATCTTTTTTCTGTTTACAATAATTACAAACATTCATTTAGCGACTGTACCGTAGGTCGTCGCGACTGTTGTGTTGCCTATTTAGTGTGGAACGGCGTATCCATTACCCCAGTATATATCTTCTACTTATTTAGTATTTATTTAATTTGTTTTTCAATGATTGTACATTTTTAAATTCCATGTGGAACTACTATTACAAATTATTAAAATACACACATACTCATTTGTTCGACACTATTCAAATGGAACACAAGTGACAATTATAATTTCATAACAAATTGCTTTGCGTAATATTTCTCGAAGTTCACTCAGACATTAAGTACCATTAATTATTATAATCATTTGTTCATTTATATTTAGACGACACAAGTTTTATAACCTTTGCCTGTATACTAAGCTACTACACAACACTACTCAGAAAACCATTTATGTTGTTTAAGGTTAAACAAATGTTTAAAATATTAATTCAACATTAAATAAATAAAAATCAAAATGTCAAAAATATCACTTAACATATATTTATTGTTGTTCATAATTATTATTGTTATACTCATTGTTATTATTATATAATAATTGAATATATTATTCCGTTACTATTCAATAGATTTTAGCAATTTAACTCTGTGCGTTATTTTTCAAATTTAATATTTATAACAATGCATTTTACATATTTATTGTATATACATTCTCTGTTTTATAAATCCAATTTTACGTGCATAGGACGATCGACAGCGTGTTAATCCGGAACGAGAGCAAGCCGGTGGTGTTGTTGAAGTGATACCCGTGCAACCGGTCGAACTCATAGCTCACGTGCGAGACGTTTTACCGGAAGAGAATTGCACTGGCCCAATGAGTTACGTTTGTGCGCACTGCAACGCACGGCATTTCGCCGTGAAAAGGTTAAGTATTAGTAACAATGCGCGACTTTATTTTTCTTTGTGTTGTTCTAATGGTCTGGTCGCCCTCGCGGACGACCAAGTATTATTGCCTGTTCCAGATCAGTTGAAGGACCTGATGCTCGGCGATTCGGCACGATCGCGATCCTTTAGAGCGGAAATTCGTCCTTAGAACAGCGCGCTGGCCGTTCGCTTCGTTCATAGTGAACGATGCACCGGCCGAGGCTCAGCCGGGCCGTTTGCCAGGCGGTGTGTTTACCGCGCACGGGCAGATGTACCACAGGTAATGGATGCGACATTTGTTGCTCGACTAATTTATCGGCAATATTACTATTGGGTAGTTATTATTTTGTAGTAAATTACAATTACACCGCACCTTTTTTTTTAGTTGTTCCGATAAATTTATAAAATACACATTGACGAAGTAACCGGACTCCATAACGTTTATCGTCTGTGCACTTAAAAAATTGTTTACAAGTTTTATATCGACTTTAGTTTTAAAATATTTTTCCTATTTCATTTGTAAAAACTTAGGAAACTAATATGTAAGCTTATTTAAATTTAATATTCATTGTTTATTCATATCAGATAAATATTTCGAAATTACTATTCGTTTCAAACGAGTATAACCGTCCGATTAAATCGAATCAAAGTGGATTTAATTATTATCGTTGATTTCATCTCGATTTAAATCGAACGGGTCGTTCGGCCATTTACATCAACTAATACACGTTTATGCAGTGGTGTTTCGCGAAAAACTCTTTTCTACATAGGGACATACGCATACGAACACTATATATAACATTTCAATATAAAAAATACGTTACTCTTTTCCTATGATATACGACGTTAATCTAACCAATTATTAGCACACCACTGTAGCGTTTATGGAATACTCGAATAAAATATAATAATAATTAAAATATTAATTGCCTAAAGTATTTTTTTTTATTACTTTGCCGACAAATTATTTACTTTAAAACACTTTACCGATGATTTACACTTTCACTGACCACAGGATGAGCCGATCGGCGATACCCAACAGGAGGGGGGCAACACCTCGCTACTGTCAGTTGTACTTCATCAGCTCGACGGAAGCTACCGCGGCGCGGATTGAAGCCAATCGCAGCCGAGCCAATCTGTTGGAGAGCGTGTTACGGGAACTCGACGAAATGTTGAGGGCCGTCAACCCGTACGCTGAAGCGTTCAGGTAACGCCAACGACCGTCTCATTTTTATATGGACGAGGTGTGGGTCGACGAGACCCGACGACTGCCGGAAGAGGCACCGCAAAGAGTGACCATGTTCTTTATCGAAGACCGCAACAACGATCCGAGGCGCTACAATGCCTCGCGGGTCAACGAAGTTGCAGCGGTGTTCACCGGCGAGAACGGCTTGCCGCCGGCGCAAGTGGATTTCGCGGTTTACGGCCGCGCGACGACCGGACCCGTGATGCCCACGCTGTCGACGAGATCGCCACACATCGATCCCATGGTATACCCGTTGCTCTTTTCGAACGGCGAAAGGGGACGGAACCAACACATGGGACAGACGGGCGCGCGGAGAACGACCAACAGGCAACGCGTGTCCATCAGAGAGTTCATGTGTTATCGTCTGGCCGTCCGTTACGGGGGCAACAACGATGTCGATCACAGCGAGTTCAGCCCGTTACACGCCGGCGGGTTTCTGTTTCAACAGCTCCTGTGCGATTACTACGTGCGCATGGAATCGGAGCGGTTTGAATACTACGAGGCGCACCAGTCGGACTTTTTCGTGGAGGCCTACCAAGGTCTGATGGATCACATCAACGGGCAACACGACGTGACCAAGGACAACGACGTCGGGTCTCGCGTCATTCTACCCGCTTCGCACACGGCCAGCGTGAGGTTCATGAAAAAACGTTATCACGACGCTATGGCCTTGGTGCGGATATACGGCAAGCCCGATCTGTTCATCACTTTCACTTGCAACCCGAAGTGGAAAGAGATCGCCGACAGCCTGTCGGACAAGTTGACGTACACCGACAGGGCCGATTTGGTTTCGCGCCAAACTCAAAGCGCTGATGGACGATCTGACGCGCAAGAATGTTTTCGGCCGCGTAGAGGCTTACGTCTACACGGTCGAGTTTCAGAAGCGCGGTCTACCGCATGTGCACATACTGCTTATTGTCGAAGAGCGGTTTAAAATACGTTCGGCCGAAGAAGTAGACCGAATCGTGCGAGCGGACATACCGGATCCCGTTACACAGCCGGTGCTGCACCATTTGGTTAAGGCCCACATGTTGCACGGNCGCACCATTTGGTTAAGGCTCACATGTTGCACGGTCCGTGCGGTATGTTTTTCAGAACGTCGCCGTGTTGGGATCAAGAGAGAAACGTTTGTACCAAGCAATACTCCAAACCGTATTGCGAGGAAACGATTTACTGCGCTGNTCCAAACCGTATTGCGAGGAAACGGTTTACTGCGCTGACAGCGGTTACCCCGAGTGCAGGCGACCCGACAACGGTCGTACCGTCGAATTACGTCGGGCCACCCTGGACAGTCAGTAGGTGGTGCCTTACAATCCTTATCTGACGGCCAAATACAACGCCCACATCAACGTGAAGGTGTGCTCTTCGGTGAAGAGCGTAATGTATCTGTACAAGTACGTGTACTTTCACGGAATACTTTCAACTGAACAGGAACGACTCCAACGCCAGGCGATACCTGTATCACGAAATACCCAACTACTACGTGTGGGATAGCAGGGAAAAGTCATGGCGTTTACGCCAACGCGCCCAGACATATCCAACCATCACGAGAATGTCCTTGCGACAGAGAACGTTTCAACTTGAGGACGTTGTTGCTGTACCGCAGGGAACCGGCCGGTTTCGAGGACCTGAGAACGGTTGACATACCACACTTACGCCGAAGCCGCAACGGCTCGGGGCATTTTGCGAGACGATCACACGTGGAGGGCGTGTATACGAGAAGCTTCCGTTCACGACACGCCGCATCAGTTGAGATGTTTGTTCGTCACGATACTCTTGCATTGCTCGCCCAACGACCCGCCGACACTGTACGACGAGTTTAAGGTATGACGACATCTCGACTTTACAAATGTATAAATCATTCATTAAGTACGGGTAACTATTACGATTATCCGTCGACAATTTATAGGACCGTGGAATGGTAGTCCGACTTTCTTTTTTTAAATTTGCATTGCGATAGTGTTCTTTTAGTGCGAGTCAATTTTTTACAAATACCTACTCGGTCAAATATTATAAATTCCATTTTTGACGGATAAAACAATTTCCAACGATAATGATAATTATTACTGTTGTTATTATTATTCTTACTAATAACGATAATTAACATATTAATATCAATCATACATAATGATAATAATAATAATAACAATAATTATAAGTAAATAAACAGGGCGGTACGCCACCGAACGAACTTCATCGGATTTTAAACTAAACGTTTATCTAATGCGCGATAGTAACGAGTCGTGTTCTTAGCGTTTTTCTACAACAGCGAAAATAAGTAGATTCAACGCTATTGCCACACCGCGACTTTTCATGCAATATACCATTGACTGGAAAATTAAAATTTCCTACATCAAGTCGATATTATTCGTAACATTAATTTACGTGTTCATTACGAATATCTTTTCATTGTTATAGTTGATGTTTCTTCAATAGTGTTCGATCCCCATATATAAATTCATAAAATGTTAATTAAAGTAAATACACGTCGAGGTAATACACAGAGTATGAATGAACTCAATACAAATCACTATAGTGTGTAATATGTATAATTCATTTATTATTAAATTAATTATTTATTATAAATATTTCGTTTGTTTCATATTAGACGACAATAATTAATTGACAATATTCATTCAAAGCACTCGGGACGGTTTTGTTTCGTTTATGTTTCTTTTTTTTTATATAGCTCACGCAATAACGGCAAGTGCGATGGAGTTAATTATTAATCGTTCGTTGTATTTACAGGATAATCTGATGGAAGATTACTTCAGACGACACGCAGACCGCGACACATCCGAAGCCATGTGTTTGGCTGTCGTGGAACGTCACCTGGCCGCTTCAAACAAGACGCTCACTGGTTACGGTTTACCCGAGCCGAATCGCGCTCTGTTAGTACCGGNGGTTTTGTTTCCTTTATTTATTTATTTATTTATTTTTTTTTATATAGCTCACGTAATAACGGCAAGTGCGATGGAGTTAATTATTCATCGTTCGTTGTATTTACAGGATAATCTGATGGAAGATTACTTCAGACGACACGCAGACCGCGACAGATCCGAAGCCATGTGTTTGGCTGCTGTGGAACGTCACCTGGCCGCTTCAAACAAGACGCTCACTGGTTACGGTTTACCCGAGCCGAATCGAGCTCTGTTAGTACCGGACGAGCCGGCCGACAACGCGACGGCGGCAGACGTCGTCGAGTTGGTCGGTCGACTGAACGAACAACAGCGGACGATATACGACCGCGTCATGCGGGCGGTCGGCGACACCAGGCGTTCATTACCCAAGTTGTTCTACGTTTCCGGAGCCGGAGGTTGCGGCAAGACCTTCCTGTACAACTGTTTGATTTCGTCTATCCGNTATATAGGCGTCCATTGCCCAAGTTGTTCTACGTTTCCGGAGCCGGAGGTTGCGGCAAGACCTTCCTGTACAACTGTTTGATTTCGTCTATCCGGAGCCGCGGAGGGACCGTGATTTCCGTGGCTTATACTGGGATAGCCGCGTCGTTGATCCAGGGAGGACAGACCGTGAGTGTTCTACACATTATCGCGCGACCGTCACACGGTTTGCGTTTATTGTGTTCGAAACCGACTACGTGCGTTTACTCTGTTCACAGGTCCACTCTACGTTCGGCGTGAGAGTGGCGCCGCACGATCAAGAAGACCCGTCGTATCTTGCAATGCAATCGAGGAAAGCGCAGACTCTGCGCGCCGCCTCACTGATCGTTTGGGACGAGGCATCCATGTCGCCCACGTCGCAGCTGCGGGTCGCCGACAGGTTGCTCAGGGACGTCATGAACGTGCCGGACACGCCTTTCGGCGGCAAACCCGTGCTGTTCGCCGGCGACTTCAGACAGACGTTGCCCATCGTGAAGCGCGGTTCGCGGGCCCAAATCGTTTCGGCCACCATACGGCACGGNCCATGAACGTGCCGTATGCGCCTTTCGGCGGCAAACCCGTGCTGTTCGCCGGCGACTTCAGACAGACGTTGCCCATCGTGAAGCGCGGTTCGCGGGCCCAAATCGTTTCGGCCACCATACGGCATGGTGTTTATTGGGTCTCGATGGAAAAATACTCGCTTGAGCGCAACATGCGCGCCGACGGCGACCAACCTTTCGCCGATTGGCTGTTGCAGCTCGGTGCTGGCTCGCTCAACAAAGGACTAGAATACGTGACTATTAAGGTCGGTGCGGTAAGCGAATCTTTTGCATGTCTTTTAGACTTTGTTTATCCGCGGGCGATGTCGTTGAACAACGTCCGCGATTACGCTAAACATATTGTTTTGTGTGTTACAAACGACGAGTGCAAGAACATCAACGATCAGGTGCTCCTACATTATACATTACATGTATAAATAGTAATGAGTTATAATATCTGAATTTTGAATGATTTAACAAATTTGAGATTATACCAAAGACATTGTATGTTATCATAATATACTTATTAGACCGATTTTTCTCAACAATTCATCAAATGATAATAAATTGTATCTATTTGATGACTATGCCCACAAAAATTAGTAATGTTTACCTTGTCACGGTGAATCATCAAAAAAATATACGATTTTTAAAATCAATAAATTTCTACATTATTTTAAATTTTCCTTACAACTGTCATAACTCTAAATAATTTTACCTTATATAAATACCTTAAGTATTTTTTTTCATTTTACCTTTTATCTGCCTACAGGCGAATATTCAAAATAACAACTTTGGCACGATAAGTTAACTTTTCCAACAAAATGAAAGATTATGTACGTGTTACAAATTTAAAAATAAAAAATCATTTCGATGACTTATCTCCTATGTGCAAATGTCTGCTGTAGTTAAAAAACACGTTAATCATGAGTTAAAATCTTTGATTTTAATTTTCAACATTAAATTGCAATAACTTTTTGAATAATGAACATTTTTTTTTTTATACAAATTTATTTTCCAATTGTTTGATATCATTTTTATGAACCTTTACTTGCCATCAAAGGGGTAGTCAAACTAAAAATTTTTTGAAATCGGTATTTTTAAAAAACTTATTTTCTTTAATCTGTCATAGCTTTTTAAAAAATAGATGAATCAAAACAAATTTCATTAGGTATGTATTTTTAAAAATTTTATCCTTTACTTGCTCACATGAATTTTAAAATAGCAATTGTGTAAACAATATCAGTTTTTCGTGTTATTATAATTTTCTACAATAATTTTTTTTTTGTCAATTATTTATACTTATATTAAGGAGGACAAGGAGGATAGGTACTTAAATTAATCCCCTCTTTTATAAATAAATTATAATAATAATAAAAATTTAAGAATTTTCGCAGCTATTATTGAAACATATATTACATATTTAACCTCGTATTTTTATAAAAGTTCAAATAAGTATTGAAATAATAAATTAACAAAAATTACATTGTTTTAATTAATCAAAATTTATAAGAACTTTTTTATGATAAATATTTGGATCGAAATTTATATTAGATGGTGTTATAAAAGACACAATAGTCTCAATATTATATTCATAGAATAATTCGACTAAATAGTTTATATACGATTTGATATTCTCTACATTTTCACTTAGTGTTTTCAAAGCTCTATCTGTAATTTGATTTAAGTCAATCTTACTAAGTTTTTTCTTTTCAGAGCTTAGTTGTTCTAAATTTTCATTATCTAGTCTTTCATTGTAATTTATAGGAACAAATTTTGGTAACAGAGTTTTCATAATTTGTTCAATATCTATAATTGCTTTATTAAGTGTTAAATTTACACCTGTTTCAACCATTGGTTTTTTAGTTGAATTTTTTAAAACTTTTGTCATTTCATAATTATTAAACCTAAATAGTACTTTAAAGAATTTATTATTTAAAAGATAATTTTTCATATCAGTATTACTTACATGGATATTTGCAAACAATTTATGATTTAATTGCCAATATTTATTAGCAATAACCATATGCTTTCTTATTAAATGTAATGTTATTGTTTTTATCACATTTAACATTTTTATTTGATAAATTCCTATTTTTCTCATCCAAGGAACTAGATAATAATAATTCAAAGCTTCATTATAACTTTTGTCGAGCTCATTGTATATTTCTTTAAAAACTATTTCACTTTGTTCACCAAAATTCATTATTATGTATTTCAAAGTATTTTCATCCTTTATTTTATATAAGTACATACTTTCTAAGGAGACCCAATTTTTTTCTGTTTCGTTTTCCAATAGAAAGTTATTATAATTTTGTGTTTCTATTATCATTTTGTTGATGTTATTTGAAGTTCTCCAATCATTGTTATTGTTATCATTCACTATCATACCATGCCTATTATCTTTTCTACACCATTTAGTAATAAAATCATCAGTAGGGTAATATTGGAGATTCTGCGGCTCCCATCTCACCCCATCACCCACCCACCTGTATTGTGGGCGGGCGGGGGGTGGGAGAGCGTGTCTTACAGTGGGCGTGGTTTCTCGATGGTGGGGGTAATGTCAAGGTCATATAGTGGGCGTGGTCTCTCGATGGTGGGGGTAATGGAGGATCGCATTCATGAGGGTGGGGGTAAGGAGAAGGCGTTGTCTTATCATTGATTGGGTAAGGAGAGGCGTGGTCTTATCATTGACGGGGTAAAGAGAAGGCGTGGTCTTATCATTGATTGGGTAAGGGGAAGCGTGGTCTTATAATTGATTGGGTAAGGGGAGGCGTGGTCATAACATTGTTGGGTAAGGAGAGGCGTGGTCTTATCATTGACGGGGTAAAGAGAAGGCGTGGTCTTATCATTGATTGGGTAAGGGGAGGCGTGGTCTTATGATGGTGGTAATAAGGAGGGGGCGTGATACCACGATGGTGGAGGTAAAAATGTCGGTTTAAAGTGCGCATGCGCACTAAAACTTCATGTCAGTGGTGGGGGAGGTAGCCATANCATTGTTGGGATAAGTGGAGGCGTGGTCTTATGATGGTGGTAATAAGGAGGGGGCGTGATACCACGATGGTGGAGGTAAAAATGTCGGTTTAAAGTGCGCATGCGCACTAAAACTTCATGTCAGTGGTGGGGGAGGTAGCCATATGGTTGTTCTCCTCCTACGATGCCATCTACTGGAAGGATGAGGTAAACCTTATGTTAACTGATAACGGAACTGATAATATTCATTGATAAGCATACACATTACATTGAAATAGTGTAATTCAATTGCTTAATATTAACGCAGCAGGGGTGTCTCTCAATAAGTCCTAATGAGCGAAGGGGTAATGAAACTTAACTTGAAACCAATCGCCATATTATAACCCTCATTACCGTCAACATTTTACGAAAAATAATTGCTTTTTCTAAGAATTTTTATAATTGCCTACCAGACGCATAGCTAAGCATATTTCCAATATCAAAGGTACCGCCATATTATAACCCACATTACCGTCTACATTTTATTAAAACAAAGACAACGCCTGTCGTTATGGTATTATAATTTCTAAGAATTTTATCATGGGTAACTAGACGCTTAGGTCAGCATATTCCAGACATCAAATGTATTACTATATTATAACGCTTATAGGCGCCAGCATTTTATGAGAACAAAGACAACATCTGTCGTTATGACATTATAATTTCTAAGAATGTTATCATCGGTTACCAGACGCTTAGGTCAGCATATTTCAAATATCAAATGTACCGCCATATTATAACGTTCATAGGCGTCAGCATTTTATGAGAACAATTGCTATCATCGTTTACCAGACGCTTAGGTCAGCATATTTCAAACATCAAAGAGATCGTAATTGTCGTATGAATTTTATCATCGGTTGCCAGACGCTTAGGTAAGCATATTTCCAAAGATGTTACAATATATTAATGGTCACTGTCGTATGCATTTTATGAGAAAAATGGCAACGTTGTCTTTTTTCACGCCTACGCGTTTTATGAGAACAATGGCAACGTTTGTCGTTATGGAATTTTATTACCGTCTACCAGACGCTTAGGTAAGCATATTTCCGTCATTGTTTGTGTTGTACCTGTTTAAACCAACCAAAACTTGTCTAAACAAGATCTTTGACCCCTATAAAAGAACGTCACATCAAGTTCAGGATCATTCACTCATTATCTTTTCCAAAGCGATTATACCAAAAACCATTTGCTTGTTTATTTCTATTTGTTGTCCTAAAGAATTTCTAAGACTTTTGATATAAAATAAAGTAAGTAATACATTTATATATATTTTTCATTTAAACTATTTTCTACTGACTTTGGTTACTAGTTATGTTTAGAGTTGTTAAATATTTATTAATTTTTTATTTTAGAATGGAGCAATTAAAGAAACAGTTGAACGATCAGAGTGCATTAAAAAGATATTCAAAATTAAGTGATTTGGAGGAACACACGCCATACAAAATCATATCTATGAAAAATACAAGCACACGAAATGGGGTTGTCGTTGTTGGTTGTCTATTCAACAATATGAATGTGTTTATCCCGAGATTGAAATTAACTAATGAAGAAATCGAAGCTTACAATATCAACAATGATGATAACAAAATACATTTATTATATAGAGGCAAAAGTGGAAATGCATATTTGTTTGATTTTCAGTAGTTTATTAATATTTCGCCTTGTTTTTTAAACTTATTTATATAAAATAAAAAAAAACTTATTATCATAAACTTGTAAGATTTAAAATTCAATAATCGCTTTAGAAAAGATAATGAGTGAATGAGACTGAAATTGATGTGACGTTCTTTTATAGGGGTCAAAGATCTTGTTTAGACAAGTTTTGGTTGGTTTAAACAGTAATATTCATATGACATTACTGTACGGTGACCTCTTTGATGTTTGAAATATGCTGACCTAAGCGTCTGGTAGACGATGATAACATTCTTAGAAATTATAATGTCATAACGACAGATGTTGTCTTTGTTCTCATAAAATGTGTAGGCGTGAAAAAAGACAACGTTGCCATTTTTCTCATAAAATGCATACGACAGTGACCATTAATATATTGTAACATCTTTGGAAATATGATTACCTAAGCGTTTGGTAGACGATGATAAGATTCATACGACAATTACGATCTCTTTGGTGTTTGAAATATGCTGACCTAAGCGTCTGGTAAACGATGATAGCAATTTTTTTCATAAAATGCTGACGCCTATGAACGTTATAATATGGCGGTACCTTTGATATTTGAAATATGCTGACCTAAGCGTCTGGTTACCCATGATAAAATTCTTAGAAATTATAATACCATAACGATAGACGTTGTCTTTTGTTCTCATAATATGCTGACGCCTATGAACGTTATAATATAGTAATACATTTGATGTCTGGAATATGCTGACCTAAGCGTCTGGTAACCAACGATAGAATACTATGTAAAAAATGCATGCATACAACAGTGATTATTACTGTACGTAAAATTTTTTAGAAATTATTTATTATATACAATCTATAGACGTGCGGCAAGTTTGTTTACGTCGGGTTTCATACGCACCCCTCCCATTAGATTAGTTTAAGTTATGTTTTATTACCCCTTCGCTCATTACTACATGTTGAGGAAATCCCCCTCCCCCGACTTAGGTTAGTTTTCATTGGGTTTCACACATTGTGTGCACTTCACACCCAATTGTCTTAATAGAGTTTGTTACAAATCGTTCAAGGAAT